GAGGAGAAAGAAGAAAAAGAGGAGTCATCATAAGCCAAAGCAGGCACTTCCTCAGGAAAAAGAATTGGAAGTATTCTTTGACTTTGAACGATAGATTTCTCTCATACCTCTGCTTACAACTAACTTTAGACCTCATTTTATCAGTTCTTTCAAATTACTTCTGTATAGCAACTACAAACCCACATTATTCAGGACAAGTCAACTTTTGCATTTATTTTTTTAGTTTCAAGCTATTCTATCCATGATGATTTGAATGTCACAAAGTCCTCAGTAGTATTCCTGCATTCAGTAATCGATCTGATGTCATCAAGAAGAGGTAAGTGGCAGATGCTGCATAGGTTTTTATGATGCTCCTTGACATGGCATGAAATTTGTTTTCTCAGGTTCGACATTTGCTCTGAAATTTTCACTAAGAAAGAAGACCACCAGAACTTCATCTTGGATGAAAGTCCACAAAACCTCTCTATAAAGCAGCTGTTCAGAGGGAACATCAGAGGCAGGTCAGGGACTAAGGAATAAGTTGAATTGTTGATATACTTTTGAAAGGTGGAAAAAAATGTGCTTTTGATGTCTTCCAGGATGTTGTTTAGATAAATTTTCTGATCTAGGTGAGCAACAAGAACAGCTGGGGGTAATGTCACCCTGATCGTGAAAATGTCTAACGAGGGAGTAGTTCTTCACACCAGATGGAGTCAATCAAAATGGGAAATTTTCTTGATAGGCCTTCTTCCACTTCTGGGGCTACCCTTGGTTGTAGTGATGGACACTGTCCCATTTAATCATGGAGATGTCAATTTCAACATCACACCTAAGTATGGTCATGATATCATGTGTACACCATCATGCTCTCCTTTCCTCAATTCCATTGAGGACTTCTTCTGCATGATTAAAGTTAGTTACCTCTCACATACAAAAATCATATTACTCCATGTTTAATACATTATCAAGGAAGTGGGAGAGATGTTACGATGACTTGCCCCTCCCAATCGAACACATTCAAGCCTTCAGCTTACGGGGTAGGTGTCACCAAGGTGTCTTAAAAACGACGTTAACTCCTACGACAAAGTAGATAGTGGTAAGTAGTGACGTTCCGTCGTTATTTCGGGTAATTCCGGAAAAAATTTAGAAGTTTTGGTAAGCTTCACATTGACAAGGACCCTGCAACACAAACATGATTTTGTAATCAGCTATAAAGATCAATAGAAACTTGACTGAGAAACTCACTCAGCAAAAATGAGTGGCATCTTCTACATGAATCAATTGCCATTTCATGTTTCTGTTTTCAGCCCTTCTCAGCAAAGGATGACAATATCAATGCAGTAAAACACTGATGACATGCTGTACCAGTTCAGCCCTAAAAACAGTGTCTCCTTTTCTCCTCTGCCAACCCTTCCACCATTCCCTGTATCCATATTGATCTTGGATATTGAAGAATATGGTTCTGTAGTCTGATTGTAGTCTTTGTCTGATTGTTCTTGTGTCATTTACCTTCAACAACTTACTTTTATTTGAACAATTTCCTTTTCTTTTTTTTTTAAGCTGCCTGATCTCTCTCAGTTTTAAGCATGACCAAAATATTGTTTTGCCTGTTGTTCATTTAGTCTGATAGTAGTTCATCTCTCAAGCAGAGATCATTTATTATATGAGTGCATTGCATTTAGTCTCATATGATTGCACAATTCATGAATTGTGAGTGCCTGTTGGGATCTCTCACCCCCAGGTGAAAGGCAGTTGCCTTACCAGCTTGAGAAGTTAAAAGTCTCATTTGATTACTCCTTTCTTCTCATCTGTGTGTTCATGTGTTATGATTCTCTGTTGTATTATGAAGAAAAATTTTACAAACTAGTCCAATCAGCAGATTAGCATTACTCATGATGACGATGATGATGATTTACAACAACTCTGAGTTTTAAAAAGTGACTCTTATCAGTGGCCTATCAATTCGGTTCCTATGAACCAGTGCTGACTAAAGCAACTCACTCTTAACCCTTAATTGGGAAGTTTTTCACCAAATGCCTATGGGAGGTCAAACATCAAAAGAAGCCTAACCTAGTTAATGGGCTAACTACTCTCTTCTGCAGGGATGCACAACATTTTTTTTTGCAAAAGGGCCTGATAGTGACTACTAAGCCAGATCACAGGCCAGACATCAGGGGAAGCAGGACAATCTTCAATGAGGTGGTAGATCCTATTGGAATCCATTACCAGTGGAAGGATTTATTCAGCTGCAGGCTGTATCTGGCCCACAGTCCTGAGGTTGTGCATCCCTGCTCTACAGCCACTGGATTGTATCTGGGTGTATTCTGTGATTCATGAAACAAGGGAAAATAGCTTGAAGAACACCAACACTAAATGTGAGATAGACCTGTGACATGTTAGCTTCACTTCCCACTTCTCAATTCTAAAATACTTCAAATTCTTTCAAGTATTCAGAATGAATCCTACTGTTTCTATGCGAGAAAACAAAAGTCTCTACTGACAATCTTACCACCTTTTCACATGTTGCCATATTAACCTTGATGCCAAGGGTCAGAAATTGCTGAATATCTCTTGCTTGATTTCTTATCTGCTTTCAGCACATCAATCATAAGGTATGAAGTGGTTGATCCATGATCAAGTTCCATATTGGCTCCTGAAGCTCAAACTCCTTGCTTTTTTGTTTTAATGTTTTCATTCATTCTTCTGAGAAGACTCCATTGAACAACTATTCATTGCTGGTGTCCTTCAAGGCAGTATTTTACTTCTATTCATCTTCTTTTTCATGACATTACATGCCCTTTCAACTCCATTACATGATAGATCTCATCATGATTGAACCCAGAAAGGTCCAAATGTCTCAAGATACCTTTCACAATCAGTGGCATGGTCCGAGAGGTGCGCATAGGTGAAGCATGATCATCCAAGCCCCAATATCATACCACCCACCACTTCTGAGGATAGATCGACATATGCTACTTGGATGAAATTGGCTGGAATAATGAGTGTTCCAGAACAGAACCTGTTCATTTAGATATTGTGACTGTTCTTGAAAAATGCCCATTGTTGACAGGAGAAGGGAACTTCAGGATGTTTCAAGCCAGCCACAAGACACCCTGTTGAGTGGTATGCATATCAGTCCACGAGTTTTAAGTGGGGCGCTAAAGGGTCTTTTTGTTGTCTCCTACTTTTTTCTATTCATATTGACATAGCCCTGGCAATTTGGCACTAGCCAAGGGGCATGACCAGAGGCAGTGTTTCGTGTGGAGGAGCTTATCTCTTTTGAGTGGTCAAGAGGAAGCCCTGATGCATTCCTGTCAAAAAATTCTGGTGTCAAGTTGTTCTATGCCTTTTTTATTTTTTTATTTTCTGTCATATTTTACTTCTCTGCTTGTGCCTTTTAATAGTTTCAATTCCATTTTATACTGTGATTAAATCTGGAAATACAGGAATTGCTTATGCTACCATTGTCAGTTGTGTTATGAGTTTCCATCATTTGTTGAGAAAACATTGAAAGTAAATTAAGGAAGGAGACTAACAAAAAGGAATTAAAAGAAGTATAAGGCAATGGAAAATCCCGATCAAGACAACAGTAGCGGCAAGAATGAGACAAGTTTATTATTGTAACAATTTTAATGACTTGGAAAATTGTGTTATGGTTAAGTTTATTTGCAATTGATACAATGATGGCATTTGCAATGGAAAGATAAGTTAAGAGCAAAAGATTAGTGTTCAACAGAAGAAAATGTAACATTATAGCTTCTTTGGGGCTAATTTGCCAAATGAGGGTAAGCATAGGGACTTAATGATGACCTTTAAGATCCATGGACACATTGCAGTGGTCACTTCAAGTGTGGCAATGGGAGAGTGATGTACCTGCCGTGCTTGGCCAGCTGAGATGAGGCAATAGATTGGATAACTATATGAGAAGAACCAGGCCCCTTGGAGGCCTGGGACAGATTGTCCCCGATGACCCCCCACGCCCCTAACCGTTTTCCATACCGGAATTCAACTGAAGGAAGCGTAAAGTATTTCTCTGAACTTAGCAAAGGAAAATGTTCGTATCTATTTCACTACGAAGCGAGACAGCAAAACCCAAGCAGCATCAGGCATGGTCACACCGGGCAGGCGAGTCCCCGCCTCTGACCGAGACGCCAGCGACATCCCTCTCCGGCTGGAGGCTCGACCATCAGTCCCCCACCCGCCCGCCGCCCTCGCCTTCCCCAGCTTCCCTTTGTAAGAAGTCGGGACCTTTGCTTTAAGGCGAATAAGGCCCGAGTTGGGTCCTCTAGCGGCCTGTAGCAAAGCTTGGACCGTACGGGAGCGCTAGCCTGCACTTTAGACTGTTTTCATCAATCAAACTCTCGACCTGGGACGTTCCTAGAATTGTACGAATTTCGTCCGATGAAATCAAGGAGATATGGATTTTTTTTTCGCTTGTCCAATCATTAAAAACTTTGAAAGTGAATAATTGAGATTTCTCCCCAAATGAACTTCAATGCTGAACAAATCTCAACCTTCGTCCAGGTGGTGAGAGAAATTAAATTTCTTCGCTGAACCGACAAATTTACGTCGAAATTAAATTGCCCTTGACAAAAATGACAAATTACAAATGACAAATCTCGTGTGGACTGAGTCGCTGATCGGTTTGCTGAGAACCGGAAGAAAACCGTTGAATGCGTGAAGGAATAGAAAACATTTTTTGAAAATGATTATTTGACTTCATCTGAACGAAAAACGGAAAAATCCGACGAACTCGCGAGAGCAGATAGGCTAATCCCATTGGGGATTGGCCAAATGGCGTTTCGAAGGAAATGGAAACAAAATGTTTAAAAAAAATTAGAGTAGCGTCCGCGATTTCTAAAATAGAATGGCTGAAAGGAAAACGAGAAATGGAAAAATCGGTAGATGGGCCTGTTTACCCTTTCAAAAGAGGGGAGAAAATTTTGGGGATGGACGTGAAACTGGTTAATCTGCTCGCTCCGGTCTTCTGAGAAAGGATTTCTCGCAGATGAACCCGTTTTTCCTTTCGGCCCTTCCATGAATAAATGAATGGTGAATTTATTTTCAGAAGCACGATCGAATTTATAATTAAAAAAACGAGAATGAATCTGATTCGCCAGTACGCGAATCTTGTCGAAGACCTATTAAACGTGGCAGCCGGCTAATAATAAATCGAGCTGAACGTTCCACGAGCACAAGCTGGTCGGAGAACGTCAAGTAGAAAAGGAGATGAAAACCACCGAGCGGCTAAAGCAGAACATTTTCAGTTGAATCACTGTGAAACATGGTCAGTGATTTATATTTTGGATTCATCTTCGTATCGCCAAAAAAAAATCTTTTCTCCTTGAAATATCAGCCAGACTACTTTCGACTTTCTAAATAAAAAACTCGAAACTAAACAGGTATTGTATTTAAGGTCCCTCTCAAAGAGTAGCCGTCAGGAGAACGCGTATTTAAAGATGGCTGCCTCCTATTTTAAAGATGGCTGCCTCCAGCGTTTGTTGACATCCGACTCCTGAGCGTTCAGACGTGCTTTGCCCGCCCTCGCTCGGATGAGTGCTTTCTGGCGGGGTTGCCAAAATTAGCCAGCAGACCTAGGAAAAGTGTCTTTCATTCTCATCCTCTTGGACCGTATGATCTGAGCTTTTTTGCGGCGTACGTCCGATGGGACCCTGTGATCTGACTATTGGGACAGCTTCAACGTTGTGAAAAGTTCGAAACGGTTGTTCCCGGTCTATCGCCGGTGTAGAGGGATGGACAAGATATTCCATGAAAAGGTAAGGAGAAGATCGGAGCAGTGTTCAACTTAAGCCTCATGCTAACTCTGTCTCTCATTTGACCTTTGGAGACTATTGTCGACTTTGTTACGTTACAGGCCTGACCGAAGGTTATATATGGTCTATAACATTATTAATTTCCAAGCCCTAAATTAAGTAACTGCCTGTGTCTAGATCAATGTTGGTCTAAATTAGGCCTAGGTCTATTCTACTACTGATTAACTATCCATGCACCTGCAGCGTCTCCCCACACTTGTCATGTAAGCATTTCTGTGAGCAGGATGCTTTGCCATCTAAATCCAATGAAGATCTATTAAGTCGGATGCAGTTGAGTTTCCAACTCTGTCCATATTTTATACTCAGTGTTTAATGAAGACATTTTTGATTAATGGGAAGAGTTCAGCACCTTGTGGGCAGGTCTGTCAGAGATTTAAGCACCCAAATGCAGTTAGTCTAATTACTGTCTGGAACAATAGAGTTAATATCATTGAAATGAGAAGTGCACAGCTATCTAGTTACATCTAGTTTTATTTCCTTCCCACAGCAACAGGGCCAGTTGTGCGCCCAACATTGCCTGAACGCTCTCCTGCAGGGGGAGTATTTCACTGCAGTCGATTTGGCAGCCCTTGCTGAACAAATGGACATTGCTGAGCAGCAGAGGATGGCTGAGAGTGGCTTGGAGTCTGAAGAATTCAGAAGGTTCATGTCTGTGAGTTGACATAGCCGTTGTCTTCATATGTGCTCCTTTTTAAATTCTTGCATAGAATGAAGCCTGGAAGATACTGCATGGTGCCCCCCGACATTCACAATCGAACTCTTAACCGACAGTTAAAACAACACTCCCATATTGCTTGAGTCATTTAGAGATAAGTGGAAAGCTTGCTCAAGTATTTGTCAATAGTGAGTCTTTCATATCCTGTAGGCCATCCTGCTATTTCTTGCTGCAAGTTGAGCCTATCACATGATCTGATACAGAATGGTGACCTACCAAGCATAATAGACTCGAGGCCCATGGGCCAGTAGCCCAAAGCATTCAGAAATAAATGTCCCTCATTTATTATGATAAAAAAATATTAAAATTGATGGACTTGGTAGTGACAATGGGCTGATAATGAAAATAGTGGTAAAAGCTCTATATTCTCATTCTTCATATTCTTACTCTGCAGATGAAGCATATGTATTGGAATGAAGCTCTTTAATTTGTTACACACAATGATAATTGCAGGAGCCATCGGGGAACATGGATGACAGTGGGTATTTCTCAGTCCAGGTGATCAGCAGTGCCTTGCAGTTGTGGGAGCTTGTCCTTATTCCCTTCAACAGTGGTCATGACAAGGCTATTGTTGCCAGGAGTGATCCTACGTAAGTGACTTGATCCAGTTTTCACATGTCTGGTAATTCTTAAAGCCAGTTTATGGAGGCCTATGTACATATTCTGTAAATCAAATTCAATGGTTGATCTCACTTAAATATGTCCTTGGTTAAATAAAACTAATCTATGACTCTTTTATTATATAGGTTTCCATGTGAAATGGCCCTTTTTTATTTTAAGTCACTAGTAAGGAAATCAGGCATCTGAAGTAAATGAAACAAAAAATTTATGTATTTGTAGAATAATGAATGTTTAGCCTTCCCCAAGACTATCACAGCCTTGTCAGTCCTAGTATTTTCTCAGAGACGTTCCTTCAGGTCATTCTTCTGTTTTAGTCATGTCTTCACAGTCTTGTCATTGATTCTGAGAACAACTGACATTCTCCCTGATCATGCTGAAGCAGAATTTGCCTGTTTGAGCAATTGGAACCCAGAGGAATGCCACCTTCTTAATCTTGACAGAAGGGCACCATTTTCAGTCCATCCACCTCAGCAGAAGAAAGTGTGATGTGCAGAGGTAAGAGATGTTGAGTTACTGATGCATTCCTTGAAAAAGTACAGGTAACAAGAGTTTCATTGGCTTGGAACCGTCCCTTCTTTGGAGAAGGAGAAAGTATGCTGTACGATGCTACAGATCCATTGAAGGTGTTTCATCTCTGCTTTGATATGTCTCAGAGGGAATTGATAGCTTTTGAAACAAATGCATGGAAGAAATGGTAGCTTAAGTCTTCCTCACTCTCTCAATGTTTCATTGAACAGCATGTGGCAGCTGATTGGGTGAATGTTTTCATGGCCTTGTGTGTTTAGCAGGGAACCATCAAAAGGTCTTACCTCTTTGCATCCCTTTAGAAAGTATCAAGTGAGTTAGGTTTTAACTTGTTTGCCCATGGCTGTGTTTCGCTGGCACTTAGTCAGAAATGAATTGTGGCCTTCTAGAAAAAGTTAGGACATGAAATATTTGTAGTATTGATAGACGCTTAATATTTCAACAGCATCTTAGAAGTGATGTTTCCCTTTACCCTTAGGAGAGAAAAATTTATTTTTGCTGGAAAAGTGAGATTTCGTGGTTTACTAAAAATGAACAAAATGGATGTAATTCAACTGAGTAGTGATGAAACAGTGAAAGGTTTATGAAGTGACCATGAAGCCCTCTATCTCCATAGACACTGTATAATTGCTGATCAATTTCTCTTAGTTGCTTCTGTAATGTGTATATCAATTCTATGAAAATTTTCCAGAAATAATAAATTGTTTGCAGGAAAAATATGCAATAGAAAATTTTCATGCTTTCTGTCCCACATGAAAATCATGAATTTTTTCTGCTCACAAAGTATGGATTCAGAGTATACAATTTGATGGTTCAAAAAGCTAAGATGAAGTCCTACTCCTGCCAGAATGGAATTATATCAGAGAACATGATGTCCATATGTAGGAGGCATCAGATAATGTCGTAATTTCTTGGATTCCGGAAGGAATTAGCATCCAGTTTTCCTGAGGTTCATAAATGATTTTTTTTTCCATGCCTTCGCCACTTGATTAGTCTCTTCTCAGGTCAATGTGCCTGGCTTTTTATATGTTTCCCTTTCTGTTTCATATGCTTTTCTTCTAAGGCTAATGCTTCACATTCTGTTGGAAATTATAAGAGCATGGCACATGCATATTGCATGCATTACAGAAGCATTCTCAAATCCCTTTTCATCTGGGCATTAACTTCATCTTCTGAAGGTGCATTTCATGGCAACTTGGTGTTTTGCTATGGTGAAAGTACCTGATTTTCCAGGAGAGAAGGTTCTCCTAACTGGTTTTTGTGGATTGTGACTGGCTTGATGTAGTACAGATTATAGCCACAATGAATTGATTCCATGTATAATCCCTATTACAGAGGAATTTGTGGTTTAGTATGGATCACTTCATCTCATCTCTTCTTAATCTGTCAAAAATGACAGAAAATATCCCACAGCTTTTTTTATTTCAATCCTGCTGTGCAAGATCTTTCCTTGATATCCAAAACCAGTTTATTGAGCTGTTAGGAGACATTGGGGTATCATGGAGATCTCTCCTAGTGCTAATGAGCCCCCTCCTATATTCTTTCCTTAGGTTTATCTATAGGATGAATAGCCTAGGAAAGGTGATTAATGAACATCTTGGTAGTGAGACCCGGGGTTGCACTATCAGATCTTTCATTGCAACTATTTGTCAGAATTGGAACACCTCATTTTGAAAAGCCTCTTATATTCACAAAAGTTCTCTTTTTGAAAAGAATTGCATTTTATATATTTCTGGATGTTTGGTTATTTATTAGAGATTGTTCAATAATCTCATACCTCCAGTACATTATACATTCATCCTGTGTGCATATCCCATATCTTGTTGGTCATTATGGAGACCAGCTAGAATATCACTTCCATGTGAGGTAGTGAAGTATTGAAGACACGGTTCAACTTTCTCCTGACCTGTCTGTCAGGATGCCATTCTGATAGACCTATTAAACAGGTTCCTTTTTTCTCTATTCAATGACCCCATGACTTAATCATTTTACATGCTGCATGGGGCCATCCAGAGGTTGTAGTATAACCTATCAAATGGCTCTAGTAGAGCTGAAAGTTTGCATGTTGAAGCTGAAAATATTTCTGAAAAAAATTGGTGGTTTTTCCTAGACTTGTGTGTGTGATGAAAATGGTTTCGACCTCAAATGTGAAGTCATTTCATGAAGATGTGGAGAATGAAGATGAAATATATGTACTCTAATATCCCATTCTAAAAAAAAAGAAGAGCAAGCTGAATGCTTTCTCTAACTTCTCTAGTTTATGGCTTATTGCATTCCTTTCCCATTCATTTCTCGAAATTCCATATCTTAATTATAGCTTATTCTATATTTGTGGAAAGTTTACTTTGTGTCCTTTGGTTCAAAATACCATATATGGTGACTCAGAGCAGTTTCAACAGTGATCAAGAGAAGATGAAAAGATCAGGCCTGCCTGTCCACTGCCTGGTGTTTTTTTAATTTTTATTTCAATAATCTTTTCCTAATCTTTTGCATTATAATTGCAAACATTTTCAGCTGTATTCAAGCCTGTGGCTTCAGTGATGGAAGAAATAAGACTGATGCAAGTTGTTTGCCTAACCTGTTGTGAACATTATTTTATTCTATTTAAAAAAAATATATTTGTTAACAGCACTCATAAAAGTGCAGGCCAGGTACCAGGTAATCAGGCAGACTTAATGAATTCAACAACTTCTTTTTTTCAGAACTGCAACAGCCTATATTTGCAACTACCGCAATCACTGGTTTGCCATTCGCAAGCTTGGATATCAGTGGTTCAACCTGAATTCAATGTTGACCGGTCCTGAGCTGTTGTCAGATACACATCTGTCCATATTTCTTGCCCAGCTGGCAGCTGAAGGTAAGGGGGACTATATTCTGGGATGGATGTCATTCTATTGACATGGGAGCTCTTGCTTGTTGCACTCTGTCATCCTCATGATTTCTCATTAAAAGCATAATGTGCTATGCTTTCACATCCTACCAAATTAGTATGTTGGGTAATCCACAGTTCCAGTATATCTATGAGCAATATTTTCATTACTTGTGCTTTTTTTTTATTCATGCAATATATTTCCTGACACTACTACTGCTTTTTGTAACTTCTCAGGCCCATTTGATCAAATTTGGTTACTAAACCCCCTGACCACCATCTCAATTTACTATGTACTCCTAGCCTGTTCGTACTTGCTGAAATCATGGTGCATACATCTTTGTAGCATTTGGAGTAAATGTGCAGATATGAATCAGAGCAAATAGACATCTTTGAGGGGCTTATGGAAAGTAGAATTACCTTTATTCATATTGAGCATATTATCTTGGAAGAGAAACCAAGGCACTCCTTAGCCTCACAATCTTTTGCAGAGTTCATCACATTGCTGGAAAGAGATAAGGGAATTTTGTTATAATGATAGAATGATCATTATCATGCACTGTACTATGTGAATAGAGGATTGTCTTCTATCATGTTTCTCCTTAGCCCAGTCCCTTGTTCAAAACTGGAGAAGAAAATCAGCCAAATGATATATCTGGAATCAAACTTTTGATACTTTGGGCAAGGACAAAATTAATTAGAGTTTCTGTCTCATTTTTATAAATTAAGCTAGAGTCTAGACTCTAGACTCCTACAGATTAATGGATAAACTCCTCTGGATAGTTCTTGTAAAAGAATGTATGCCAGCAGTTGGTATTGTAAGAGTTGAATCCTTACTCCCAGCCTCTGATACTTCACAAAAAAAAACAGCAATAAACTTTCTGGGAAACCCTGGGTTTTTGGAGAGACATCCAAGGTCAATGGAGACCATTTAAACATTTTTTTTATAGCAGGAGATCCTTTGTCTGAGGGTGATGTTGGCTCTTCCCTGAGATTCTTGCATTCTATCTTCTCTCTTCTTCCTTGTCTTGGAAGTGTTTGAGTCTTGCAGTAAGCAAGTAATCTGACTGGTACATTAAACCATCTTTGTCTCCTAGGTGTCACATACCATGATGAGACTATTGGTCTTTCTTGTTAAAAAAAAAGGAAGGGGGGGGGGAGTTCACATTCTCCATATAGATAAAAGTTTATGTAGTCTATCCAGTTCAACTTTGCTACTTGACACTGCCTGTTTATGGTATCTCATATATTTTGTGCTGCCATCCACTTGTCAAAATGTCAGAAAGGGGCTCAGAGGTTATCTGGTGGACCAAGGTGTTACTGGCACTTGTGGGACAACTATTCAAGATTTCTAAAATCATCCATACATGATGCCTGCCCCCTCCACCCAGGAGAGGAAGACAGATTAAATTTAATGACCCCTTTGAGGATTAAAATGTAAGCAAGGCTGGACCAGATAGATTATACCTGAGATCATTGCTTAGTATGGAATCAACTTTGTTGCAGTTTTAGGGGGTCATGCTTGAAGATTACTTTCATACCTCTTTGTAGTTATATTCTTTTGTATTTCAAGTCTTTACAATGCAATTGTGTTCATTCTTTTCTTGGGACAGGATATTCCATATTCATTGTGGATGGGTTCCTACCCCAGAGTGAGGCAGATGATTTACTTCGTATCACACCGGCCGTCCAGACTGTGAAACCCAAACTCATCTCCCAACCAGGTGAGATCATTGTGGCATTTAAAAATATATTCAGTGTTTCAACATAGTGATGATAGTGAACCCAAAACTCTCAATGCAGATAAAGATGGAGACGCGGAAGAGGACGATCTGGAGCTGAGACGGGCTCTGAAGGCAAGCATGGAGGATCAACTGGAGGAGGAATACCATGAACAGTTGGCTGCTGCATTAGACCTAAGCAAGAACATGAAGGGGGAAGGGAGTGAACCAAATGAAGGTGAGCACAATGGAGCAGGTGGAGACGAAGATGAAGATGCTCTGTTTCAGAGGGCATATCAACTTAGCCTCTCTTGTGAGTTTTCAACTCAAAACAATGGGACCATGTAACTCTCAGGAATCAAAGAAAAAGTTGGAAGCACACTAACAGCAATAATTGAGGTCACTGCTGCTATTTATGTAGCCGACATTTTATTTTCTGTTGTACTTCCTATCAAATTGTAGTGAGCTCATAGTCAATCATCAATTGCATCTAGGCGTGAATAATGAGGAGGGGAGCCAAGTGCCAACTCCAAGTGCTGCTGAGATACGAGAAAGGAGGAGAGCATTTCTTGATAAAGTTTCTTCAACAGGGACCAAGGAGGCAATGTGATGTGATCCATGTGCTGGACAACTGCTGGGAACTCATTGGAGTTCTCCAACTTGTGATACTGGACTTTGAGATACATTTCCTCTATTAGCAACTGGAATGGTTGTGTATGCACCTTTTTCTTTTGCATTGGTAAAGGACTAATGCCATTGTTCGTTCCTTCCTGACTTGTGTTTATATTTGTGTATTTGGGTGTGATGAGATTGAATACTGTATTAGCCATATTCAGTATCTTCCACAGTCATTGGTTACTGTTGCTTTATAAAAATACAAAAGGCAGACAATCAGTACATCATTGCCTGTATTGAAAATGCCAATGTTTCTGTCATCAACTTGATTTTAAATAGTTATGCACACTCAATGTCTGTGAATGCAATGAAATGGAGGGTGTCATATCATTAGATGTTTCTCAGAATCTGCTCAACCTTCATCAACTTCAACTCGGAGTGCAAGATAAAATCAATCAACTTTATTCATTTTCCATACTCAATGCAAAGACAATACCTGAACGATAGGAATGGAGAAAAAGATGAATTCACAGGTAACAAAATTCCAGATTTAAAGAAAGAACTCTCTCTCACACCACCACACACTGACTAGAAAGTGTGAGCATGAAATACAAAATGAAAACAAATTTCTTCATGACTAGAGACGGAGGTTCCTAAATGGAACCTCTGACTAACCTGATTCAACTGATGAATAGCACCCAACCTGAGATTGCTCTAAAATCACTTTAACACGTTGACGACCAGCCTATTTTTGCTTGTCCACCGCGTGGGACCACGCGCATTTTTTTTGTCAAAAAATGCGTCCTGCCATCAGGACGCATGGTCCCAGAAAACATTTTTTTGCCGAGTTTTTTTATAATGTTGAATGTTTTGGAATTTTTTTTTATCAGTAATTACAAAATCATAATCTTCTGGAACGTTCTCAACAGTTCCAGAGGGTATTCATTNCCCTTTTTTTTTTTTTAACAAGAAAGACCAATAGTCTCATCACGGTATGTGACACCTAGGAGACAAAGATGGTTTAATGTACCAGTCAGATTACTTGCTTACTGCAAGACTCAAACACTTCCAAGACAAGGAAGAAGAGAGAAGATAGAATGCAAGAATCTCAGGGAAGAGCCAACATCACCCTCAGACAAAGGATCTCCTGCTATAAAAAAAATGTTTAAATGGTCTCCATTGACCTTGGATGTCTCTCCAAAAACCCAGGGTTTCCCAGAAAGTTTATTGCTGTTTTTTTTTGTGAAGTATCAGAGGCTGGGAGTAAGGATTCAACTCTTACAATACCAACTGCTGGCATACATTCTTTTACAAGAACTATCCAGAGGAGTTTATCCATTAATCTGTAGGAGTCTAGAGTCTAGACTCTAGCTTAATTTATAAAAATGAGACAGAAACTCTAATTAATTTTGTCCTTGCCCAAAGTATCAAAAGTTTGATTCCAGATATATCATTTGGCTGATTTTCTTCTCCAGTTTTGAACAAGGGACTGGGCTAAGGAGAAACATGATAGAAGACAATCCTCTATTCACATAGTACAGTGCATGATAATGATCATTCTATCATTATAACAAAATTCCCTTATCTCTTTCCAGCAATGTGATGAACTCTGCAAAAGATTGTGAGGCTAAGGAGTGCCTTGGTTTCTCTTCCAAGATAATATGCTCAATATGAATAAAGGTAATTCTACTTTCCATAAGCCCCTCAAAGATGTCTATTTGCTCTGATTCATATCTGCACATTTACTCCAAATGCTACAAAGATGTATGCACCATGATTTCAGCAAGTACGAACAGGCTAGGAGTACATAGTAAATTGAGATGGTGGTCAGGGGGTTTAGTAACCAAATTTGATCAAATGGGCCTGAGAAGTTACAAAAAGCAGTAGTAGTGTCAGGAAATATATTGCATGAATAAAAAAAAAGCACAAGTAATGAAAATATTGCTCATAGATATACTGGAACTGTGGATTGCCCAACATACTAATTTGGTAGGATGTGAAAGCATAGCACATTATGCTTTTAAGGAGAAATCATGAGGATGACAGAGTGCAACAAGCAAGAGCTCCCATGTCAATAGAATGACATCCATCCCAGAATATAGTCCCCCTTACCTTCAGCTGCCAGCTGGGCAAGAAATATGGACAGATGTGTATCTGACAACAGCTCAGGACCGGTCAACATTGAATTCAGGTTGAACCACTGATATCCGAGCTTGCGAATGGCAAACCAGTGATTGCGGTAGTTGCAAATATAGGCTGTTGCAGTTCTGAAAAAAGAAGTTGTTGAATTCATTAAGTCTGCTTGATTACCTGGTACCTGGCCTGCACTTTTATGAGTGCTGTTAACAAATATATTTTTTTTTAAATAGAATAAAATAATGTTCACAACAGGTTAGGCAAACAACTTGCATGAGTCTTATTTCTTCCATCACTGAAGCCACAGGCTTGAATACAGCTGAAAATGTTTGCAAATATAATGCAAAAGATTAGGAAAAGATTATTGAAATAAAAATTAAAAAAACACCAGGCAGTGGACAGGCAAGCCTGATCTTTTCATCTTCTCTTGATCACTGTTGAAACTGCTCTGAGTCACCATATATGGTATTTTGAACCAAAGGACACAAAGTAAACTTTCCACAAATATAGAATAAGCTATAATTAAGATATGG